TGTTAGTAGACTCTGGATTTTGAAGTTTGGAAATAACACAAGGGAAGTCAATTCCAAAATCTAGCAGGCACCTTAAAATGGGGAAATACTGGTCTGGCCAATCTATCAGTCTACTGCTGACACAATAGTTTTCAATAGGTGGCATCTCAGACTGTCCATGTGCTGTGTTGGGACGGGGCGCTACACTCTTCAGTATGTGCAGTAGAGAAGCAGCAATGAGGAATGCCACGGCTCTCTCATTTCCCATTGCATGCTACTTTTAAAATTTCCCCTGCGCTCCAACAGCTACACAACATCAGTAGCACTTGGCCTCAGATGGGCTTGTGTAGACAGGTTCAGACAAAAGGCCATTCCTCCCTTCTATATAACTTATCAAACTTTAGCTGTCTGAGCTAGCAGCTTCAATGGACTCTTATGAGGCCGTCATTTAAACATTCAAGAAGTACAGGTACAAAAGATACTATCGATCCTGTTGGCTGATTAGACGCATGCATAAAAGAGGGATTGGCTGCAAGACAGTCCAGCCCTAAAGTGTACAAAAGGACAAACCAGCTATGCTCAGGTTACCCAGTTTTCAAAAAAAATTAACAATGGGTGCAATAAAGGCCAGAAGTTTTAGAATCCATTTCTGGACTCATTGCAAAAGCACATTCCCCTTTTTATGTTGGCTTTTTAAACACTGTTGCAGCTAAACCTGCTATTCAGTGACCCTTATGGCTAAATCTGACCTGGTTTTTCAACCTTTTCAACCAATGTTTTGTGACGTACAATAAATCCCACTAGAACGGTTACTCACTTGGGGTTGATCTTTTCACCCTTTTCCTGAAGGATTTCCAAAACATCCTTCCCGTTCAGAACTAGGAGGACTTTTTCATTTTTGTCATCCATTTCCACCAACATGTACTCCACCTGCAAGATGTTTCAGACACTTTTTTTACAACACAGTTTAATCACAAAGCAACAAATCATTACCCACAAGTAGCATAACAATAGTTTCTGTAAAAAGTGAAAGTGAAAAGTGACTGTTGCTTTCACTGAGGGTGGTATGCATATTATGTGAGAGTGGATTTGCCTTGCAAACCCAACAATGACAAAGCACAGTATTATTTTTCTCCAAACACACTCATTATGAAAGTAAAATCGCAGTGTGAAATTTCTATACTGATGCGATTCCATTCTTTTTGCCTTTTGAGTCCACCAATGCAGAACAAAGGATTCACTTAAACCAACAACATTCCAGCAGGTTTTATCATAAATCCATTGACGTCTTCTGGCCGAACAAAGGTATTGAAATGAAAAGACATTTCAAAGCAGGTTTAGAAATAGACATCAGCCTGTTGATCCTGCATGAATGGCAAGTTTGTACATGAAAACACTTTTAGGCGCCATTGTTTGAAATGTTCATTTTAGCATATGGTTAAGAACAGTAAAAAAGAAAAAAAAGAGCAAGAGCTCACTAAAAGATGACGAACCGCACACCCATCCATTGGAATTGGGATTTTGTAATTGTCATCACAAAATCTGTGAACTAAAAACACTGTGGGCAGATCTTCACATGCCTGGGCTGCATCATACATACTCTAGAGCAGTGGACCCACTAACACCTTATTACTGTGATTTTCCACTTTTGAGAATAACCAACTCTAATAATCAACACTGGAGGAAAAAAAATAAAACATACAAATGGGAGAACATGGAGTGAAGTCAAAACAAAATGTCTCATATTTGAGCTTCCACTGTGCATTGTCTCAACCCACTTCACCCTGGGATCATTTTTAAACACCACTGAAGATGTGTAGGCTGGACACTTGTTGGCTGCTTGCTGGTGCTCAGCCAGATCGAAATAGGGTGAAGTTTTAGTTTGGCCAATAAATTCAGCATAAGCACGAATTGCATTCGTCTACCAAACTAATTTCAAGATTGTAAACATTGGCCTTTGGACCACAAGGATTTTAAGAATCATACATCCAGTCAAGTGTGTCCAACAAGTGTCAATGCACGAGCACGCATAACACAAAGCGAGCTGAACGGCGCACCTGCTCACAAGCAGCATCCAAATCTGCTCCACTGCATCACTGCACGCTGCCTCTAAACACGCAACCACGTGTTTCTCCATCACATATACATTATAACGTGCATTTATGAAGATGAAAAAGAGCCTCACCTCGTCTCCCCATTTCAGCACATCCTTCTGTCGTTCTTTGACCTTGTTGTAGATGTTGAGGAACTGAAGGATGCCGTGCTTTCTAACGTGGTCCGCATGCTTCTTGGTCTCTTCCCAGTTGAGCGGCGACCCTTGTGACAGTAAGCCCATAGCACAAACCTACGATCCCTCGCGTATTATGGACTTCGACTTCAGCTTCTCCTCACACTTTAATGCTCGCACACGCTAGGCCTTATGTGATTCGTTTTAAAGACGGATGTATCCGCTCTGTGCTTCCTAGCGGTTTCGAGTCAAGTACGAGCTACGGTTTCACGCCACCTCGACTGGAACGGAATAAAGCGGTGTCGAATTGCGAGCAGCTGATATTCGATCGGAGTGCGCGAGCTGTGTCCGTCTATCTCTTCCTCGCGCACACTTTACTGGTACTGAGTACACGTGACCGTGCCGACGCGGTGACGTCATCTAATGACTCAGCAACCCGTTCCTCTCGTTGCGGTGTGGCTGAGGGAAGCCGATCCGTTATAATGTGCCTTTGTAATCATGACAAGGCCAAATGTAAGAGGCGGAATGGGGCCAGCGGTTGGTTTTTATTACACGTTATTTTTCCTTCTTCTTCTTATATGAAGGTCACATTCATGTGTGTTTTTTTTGTAAATATTATTTAATTTCGTGTATTTGGGATATGCTGGCTATTTAGCAAGACAATTATGTTAGGGTTCGGTGCAACACTAAAGTCAGGAAATACAGAACCAAATAATAACGTCCAAGGAATGTTCTTTTTAGGTTTAATTCAGTAAAATAACGTGTCCATATATATATATAACCATGAAATAACTACAAGTAACTAACCTTCCATTTAAAAATGCTGCAGATGTGCTGCTATAAAGTAACTTACACAGGACGTTCCCTAAAATTTGTTTTCAGTTTTTGTAATAACCATTAAATAACTAACATAACCATTAAATAATAACAAAAACTGTCCCTAATTGTTATTTTCAGTTTTTATATTTATAAACAGGTAACCAACCTTCCCTTTAAAACATCGCAGATGTTTTTGTGTGACACATAGACTTAAACCCTGTAAGATGTCAATAATGTGAATGGGAAAAAGCAAATGGGGTTATTAGGTCAGGAGTCACTTCGTATACATTCCCTTGTCATCGTCATGATTATTAAGCATTTTGCATTGTCATAATGTCTGTTAGCTGCCACTAGCTCTAACGCCCATTATGTTTACTTGGTGAACTTGAAAGTCTAACCGTAAAGGAATAGTTCACCCAAAAATGAAAATTCTGTCATTATTTACTTACCGTCGAGTTGTTCCAAATCTGTATGAATTTCTTTCTTTCTGCTGGACCCCACTGACTTCCATAGTATGGAGAGAGAGAAAAGAAAGAAAAAAAAAACCTATGGAAATCATCAGTGAGGACCATCAGCTGTTTGGTTGCCCATATTCTTCAAAATACCTTCTTTTGTGTTCAGCAGAAGAAAAAACATTTACTGTATAAAGCTTTGGAGCAAGGGAGGGTGAGTAAATGATGACAGAATTTAATTTTTTTGTTTGAACTATGCCTTTTGTAGTGCTTTACGCGGTTATTTCTGTGCCACTAGCTGCACCAAACGGAAATGCAAAAATAGTGTCTTTCATTGGTTGGACAAACAGTTATGAATTTAGGAAATATGCCTCACTCTCTCTCTTCTCTCATCATTTTCAAAATAGATTCCAAGAAAAATGTCAACAGCAACATTTCTTAAGAAGCTGTAATAAATATGCAGAGCTTTATTATCTGACAACATGTATTACAGTATGTATATTGTGAACAATCCATTGATTTACCTTAAATAATCAATACCTTATTAAAGTAATAAATCAGTAGTGTGTCCAGTTGTCACATTTTTTTCCTATCATACAATGTATTCTATAACCAGAATATAAAAAAATCATGAACCATCAGGAAACAGAGCAGATTGTATACTTGTCTAGAGCAGTGTTTCCCAACCTTTTTTTAGTCGCGGCACCCTTTGAAAATTTTAACAAACTTGTGGCACCCTACAAAATTAATTTTGTCACAATATTTGAATTTCTAACTTCGATGTGATAATTGGAAAAGTATAGATACTCGGTACAACAGGGAAGAACTGCAGAATATAATGTCATACAGATATTTTTAATATTATTAAAACATTTTGTCCATCAATGGTGGCAATCAGCTAATTTCTAATGAAGAGACAAATTTATATGACAGATTTTAATGTAGGCTTTTATACATATGTAAACATTATTTAATTACCATTATAACTAGCTATCTCACAAATTTTTGCTCACTCAGTGTTTTTTTAATTTTACAGTGGGGTAATTTTGGTGCAGTAGCACGACAGAACACGTGAGCATAACATAGCGGTTAGCAGATCAATGAATGAGAGGGCAGCGTTACCAGAGTTACCCATATACCACACCATGTTACAGCACAGTAGGGTTATTGCAGACAGAAACAATACTGTACTACAGAGATGTTTCCTGTCGGCTCAATTTTGGAGTGGACTTTGCTGTTCCGATGAGCATGAACGGTATACGAGTGGAGCTGAGCGGAGCGCCCACGCATAGGGCGGATAATACGCAGAGCGTCACCACGTGAAAGTGCGGTGAACTAATTATCGGCAGCCGGAATTTCGGTGCATCTCTAATTATTGGCGACATCAGAAATGGATATTATATAATAGATGCTCTTTTGAAAATTTTAGCAATTTAAAAATATTAAAAAATTATTTTTTTACACGGCACCCCTGCTCTCAACAGACGGCACCCCAGGGTGCCGCGGCACCCCGGTTGGGAAACACTGGTCTAGACGGTTCAGGCCCAACTTTTTTTCACAATTATTTATTCTCTCGGTTTACAAAATATGCCACCAGTGTAAATCCTTTTATGCCCTATTCAGTGTTCTTCACATCATCACCCAAATCATCATAGTGTCTGTTTTTGTATTTTTTTTTCAGTGTAAACGGAGTCAAACAGGGTCACCCTTCTCCCTGTGGCCTAATGATTAAGAACTAAGGACGTTGTTCTCAGTCATTCCTCCTGCCAGCAACCCTGCTTATAATTAACTTGCTTGATTTTCCAAGAGCCAGCAGCGCTTTGTTGGTGTATTACATGATTAAATAAACTGCCTGATAGTTGTAGGTGAAATGTTAAAACCTGGCTTTCTCAATGTGTATTGAGTCTATGCTCCCTTGTGTATTAGCTCACATGTCTGCAGTGCAATAAGAATGGCATCATTGGAGAATAATGCTGTAATAAGTATCCGCAGGCTTTTTTTAAAGGATATTTCATTGTTTGGTGATCAAAGGACAATGTCTAATATATGTGGACAGTTTGCAGTGTTGCAATTACCCCATTTTGCACATTAAGTGACTAATCAAATCATAACCGTAGAATTGGCCCCACTTGGAAAATAATTTCCCAATGAAAATTATGACTGTAACCCGTATTGTTTGTATGTATTTCCTTTTCCATAAACCTCCAAGACAAATCTCTCTCACTTTTCCTGTTCCCACACCCTATGAACCATCTTTGAAATGCATCCATCTTTAGTTGTTTTCAAATCGCTTCAATTTTAAACACAGTGGCTTATAGAAATAAATGTTAATTTGTATGCATAATTGAACTTTGTCAGTTTCTATGTTGTGATTTTACATTCAACATTTCCGAGATTGCCATGAACTGACAATTAATTTTGGCATCTGTGATAAAAGTTGACTTTGAACAAACAGCAAGATAAAAATTTGCACTCAATCACATTTAGCAACTCAAATACATTTCCCCACTATCCCTCGCTGCTTATATACTAATCGGTGCGGACGATACAGAGCTGGCCCTCGACTCCCGTGTTTTGCGTGTGGGGATGGTGACAACACAACATGAGATACCAACCGTTGCCTCTGGCAATTCGTCATCCTCAGTCCATTCGTTAATATCGGGGTTATACACCTGAATACATTTTTTGTACTTCTTCTCAATCTCATTCCAGCCACCCAGGAGGTGAATCTTATTATTCAAGGTGGCAGCACCAGCTGTGCTCACTCCTGTGAGCAAGGCGGCAATGTAGCTCCACTGGCCAGAGTGAGGGTTGTAACATTCAACTGGCAAGACGTCGACCCTCTCGCCACGTCCGCCCAGTTGGCTGCCGCCGAGAACGTAGGCGCGATCTCCGACGCTCACTGAACAGTGCCACCCTCTCGGGGTGCTCAGGCTGTTCTTATCCTGCCAGCTATCGGTGGATGGGTCGTAAGAACATACAGCACGAGAATAGGCGTTGTTAATGTAACCACCGCTAACCAAGATCTTGCCATCAATTACTGTGCTAGCGTGGCAACATCTAGGGACTTCCATTGCCGCTTTCATTTGCCATTGGTTAGAGGATGGAACGTAGCACTCGACAGACGCCTGGCAGCCGTCAGAATTACGCCCCCCTACAGCGAACAGGAGACCATTGAAGGTGTTGAGGCTGAAATGAGTGCGCTTTTGAATCATGTTTGCCAGGTGGATCCACGTGTTGAATCGGGGGTCATATCTAATGAGGGAAATACTTGTAAGTGATGCATCGCTTCGGAAAAAATACATGCCAATGGACTTTTGACAATAAAGCCTTCTGAAAGGGATAGTTCACCCAAAAATGAAAATTTGCTGTTAATTTACTCACCCTCAGGCCATCCAAAATCTAGGTGACTTTTTTTCCCCTCAGTAGAACAGTGAAGGAGATTTTTAGGTGAAACTGCTGTCCTTGGCGATTCATACACTGCACATCTGTGGCTGCCGGTTTTTTAGTCAAAAAAAAAAAAAACATACAGAGAAGACCAAATCAATACCCGTGGCTCCTGACAATACACTGGGGTCCTATGAAGCGAAATGATCGGTCTGTGCAAGAAACTGAACATTATTTATTTACAACATTATTACCTTTGGTAATTCGGGGGAAGTCGTGGCCTAATGGTTAGAGAGTCGGACTCGTAACCCAAAAGGTAGCGGGTTCGAGTCTCGTACCGGCAGGGATTGTAGGTGGGGGGAGTGAATGTACAGCGCTCTCTCCCACCTTCAATACTACGACTGAGGTGCCCTTGAGCAAGGCACCGAACCCCCAACTGCTCCCCGGGCGCCGCAGCAAAAATGGCTGCCCAC